AATAATACAGTCTATATAAAATTTTAATAAAATTAAATATATTCCAAGTTTAGTTATCTATTAGTATTAAAATATATCTAGTATTTTATTTAGAAAAGCTTTAAATTATACTAACTAGTAATCTACTGCTAGAATAAACTTAAAATTAAACAGAACTAATTATAATAAATTAAAATATAAAGTATAAAATAAACTAAATTTTTAACTTTTATATATTTTAAAAATATTTAATATACTATATTAAGTAAAAAAGTTTAAATAAAATAAATCTAATATAGTACTCTGCTAGTAATCTAAAAAATACCCCTATATTTTTAAAAAAGTTTTATAATTTTTACTTAATAAGCCCAGGTTTTTTAAAATACCTTTTAGCCTAGCTAAAAGCAGCTGTAGAAAAAGTTTTTAATTTAAATTATTTTAATAATAATTTTTTTAAACCCCAGAAAATAAGTATAGTCTACTATTATATTATAAAAGTAATTTTAAAAAAGGCTATAAAAATACTTTTTATCTGCAGACAGCTAAAGCGAATTTTAGAAATAATATAAAAATAATTCTATAAATATAATCTACTAAGTTAATTTTATTTAATATTTTTATAGTATTTGTTTTATTTACCTCTAAGCTGTTCTACAGTAGATAAGCTATAGGCTTATATTTTTTTTATTTTCTCTTCTTCTTTTTATAATTAATATTCTATATTGTTAGTACTAAATTGGTAAAAATAAACTGATTTAACCGGCCCTGACAATAGTAGAATATATTTATAAACTTTTTATATATTTATATAAAAGCTAAAACTATAACACTATTTTAATAATTATTAACTATTTAATAAAAATAAAATATTTAATATTATATAATTTTACTGCTAATACTGCTGCTGTTGTAACTATATATATTAAATATATATAAAAATTATATAATTTATTCTAATTTATTTTTTTAAATAAAAAATTTTAGTTTATTTTTAAATTTTAAAAATATTTAATATAATAACTAGATATTACCAGTAAGCTTTTTATAATATATTACCCTAAAATTAACAGCTAAACTTAAAAAGTTAATATAATATTTAAATAATACTTTTATATTTATATAAATTATTTATAAAATAATTAAAGCTAATAGCTTCTTTTAGCTAGATTTACTTTAAATATAATTTATTTTAATACTATTAAAACTATTTTATTTTTTATAAACTACAGCTTTTATTTTTATATAGATTTTGAGTCTATAGTAATTCTAAACAGCCTAGCTGTTAAAAATATAGACCAGTTTATTATAAAAATATAAGCTATTATTAAATTTATTAAAACAGAAATATCTACCGCCCAAGCCTAATATATAAAATAAATAAATTAATAATATAAATTTATAAAAAAATTTAAAAAAAAAATTAAAAAGTATAGTTAAATATTTAATATATTAAAATACTAAAATCTAGTAAAAAGCTTAATTAAAATATTTTAAAACTATATAAAATTAAAAAAAATAATTAGTTTATATATTTATTTACTAGTTTTATTTTTTAGTATAAAAATATACCCTATATTTAATACCAGTTTATTTATTTTTATTAGTAAAAAACTAGTTTTAGAATAGTATTAACCTCTACTACCTTATATAAAAATTAATAAATTTAAAATTAAAAATTAAAAATATTTTAAATTTTATATAAAACTACAGAGGACGCGGCCGCCCTTAACTAATATATATTATAAAATAAATTAAATATTTAAATCTAACTACTAAGCTAGTCCAGTACTTAAAAAATATTTATTAAATAATTAAAAACTTTTATTACTATTATTTTAATAAATTATAATCTATATTTTAATAAAGCTTAGCTTTAAAAAGGGGGTAAACTATTATAGTATAAATTTAATATATTTATTTTATCTATTCTACTTATTTAATCTATTTAATTTATTTAATTTATTTAATTTTAATAATTTAACTATTTTTTTTATTTATTTTATATATAATCTGTAGTTTTTTTTAACTGTTTATCTGCTTTTAATTCTGTTTATAGCTTTTTAAGCTATATTTTATTTATAAATCTAAAAATAGCCTAATCCAGTAGCTAATAAAAAATCTAAAAAACTAGTTATAAAAAATTATTTAGTTAGAAGCTATTATTTCTACTATCTAGCCAGACTAAGAACCAGACACCAGCTTGCTTCTTAACAGTATCCAAATATTACAATATCTAGTTTTTAGTTTAGCTAAATAGTAAAAATAATAGTTTTAGTTAAATAATTTTTTATAACTAGTTTTTTAAATTTTCTATTAGCTACTGGACTAGACTATTTTTAGATTTATAAATAAAATATAGCTTTTTAAGCTATAAGTAGAATTATAAATAAATAAACAGTTAAAAAAATTATAACCTATATATAAAGCAGTTAAAAAAACAGTTAGATTATTAAAGTAGAATAGGTTAAATAAATAAAATAGATTAAACAGATAGAATAGGTGGAATTAGTATATTAGGTCTGTACTATAACAATCAGCAACCTTTGTTACTAATATCAATGAATAAATATAGAAAATACTGCTATTCTCTAAAGGTATATAAAATATATATTTAAATAGCCAAAAAAAATATACTGCTGTATATTAAAACCCCTTAAATATATATAAAAAGAACTATAGAATAGTAAAATATAGAAACTTCTGCTATATAAGTAGTATAAAAGGTAGAGGTAATAAATAAAAAGCAGAATATTGCTATAGCAAAGATTAGAATGTCAGAATATTACTATTAGCCATCACTAACAATAGTGGGATTATTAAGATTTAAACTCCTACTAGAAGCATTCGGAATTTTTTTGACTAATATAATAATATAGTACATTCTAATACAAGAATACCAAGATACCATACTTATTAATCATCTGGATATTCATCCATAATATTACTCACGAAAACCCTTCTATCACTATCCCATCTCTTGAAGTGTTTGCCTGCGATCGCAACCAGGCTGGGTGGCAAATCTGCTATCTCCGTGACAAGAGGCTCAATGCTTTCTTCTGCCACGTACCGAACACTTCTATCCTCAACACTGGAATCGTCAGCTCCACAGTCGGTTAGTAAATTTATCAAGCACAGTCACATACAGTACATGATAGAAACTCTGGTGTCGACCATCCCGAAGATTGTCCACTCCCATACGTCTCATCCACTGCTCACCCGCACCACACTCCACATCCCACCCGGTAATAATGGCACGGTATGCGTATCGGCGATGCCTGAAAACCTGGCCAATTCGATATCTGACACTGCCATCTTGAGCGGAGCGCTTCTTGACCTCCCTCGGAATCCCGTCCACAGCCCGCATAATATGAAGACTTTCCAAGATGTTGTCATGCTCAGCCATACCGCTGAAAATAGGAGTGATGAAGTGCTCAACCAGATCTACATCTGACGGAAATTCCATGGCTAGAAGCTCCATCAACGATGGAAGGCTATGCCTCAACTCGATAGACCGAGCCGGATCTGAAAGTAGCATAGATGACCAGACAGCGGCATATTTTGCACTGACCAAATCAACTGACGCAAAATGTACATCGTCGAAATCACTGCTGCGCTGAATAGAGTTCAATATGTTCTTGCTGCAACGAAGCACGATCTCCGATACCTCAGACTTGCCAAGGAACGTCGATTGTTCCGCAGCGGAGGCTCCCAAGAAGTTCAACTGATGCTGCAAATCTATAATTGGTGTCTCCTTGTCTGATCTGAATGGATCCATATAAATTGGACCTCCTCGCATTCCAGCTTCGACTGCATGATCATCGACATCATATCCGGTCGCAGGCATGACAATCACGTGAACGTGGAAGGGGAATCCGCATGGCCGGGCGTCTAGGCCTAGTTTCTGTGCAACATGGCAGTAAATAGTAGCTGAGACTAGAGGGAGTGAGTTGTGTGCAGGATCGTTCAGTGAAACACCTAAGAAATTATGTTCCAGGCGATGATAACTCCTTCCTGGTTCAATACCATTGAAATTGTTCGCTCTTAGGAAGCCTGCGATGGCTCTAGCCTTCTCACGACAGGTTAATTGTTGAAAATGTGGGTGTTGTTCGATAAACAATGATGTGACATTATCCAACTTGATGACAATCTTCGAAGCAAATCAGTAATAGTGACATTTCCAACTTAAGATGCTGGCCTACCTCTTCGAGACTGCCAAACCCACTCTCCGGAATGAACAGATCGAATGCGCCAAGCGCTCTACTCAAAGACACAGCCTCTCCACGTCTAAGTTTTTCCCACTCCCGGATGGCAAAACTTCGATGAAGACAGGACAAGACCGCTCTAGCGTAATATCTTTAATGGTAGATGTATGGTTAAACAATATGGCAGGCAGAATATAAAGTTAATGGTACCAACCTCCGCGCCAAATGGTCTTCTGCCTCAGACCCCACAGAGATGTTATGTGAAAGAGCATCTTTAGCATCGTATCCAAGGTCAGTTATCGCTTGGATCTGCTCGATCCTCCCAGCCTGACTGCAGAGTATTTTGTTCAGCAGGCGTGTGGTTGTGCGGTAGCTTGTATGCTTCGTTACATAGAGTCGTTTCCAATCCGTATTGGCTATGGGAGCTGTCAATCTCTTAGGCAATTCGTGACCAGAGGCCCAATATTTGAACTCTGTCAAACAATAATAGCGCCATAGTGTTGGTTCATTAGTGACGCCATGAAATCTGCGAGCTGTTTGTTCTAATGCAGCCGTGGAGAAGGGTTCACAGTAATGAAGGACGTGTTGTAGCAGCTCTTCAGGGAGACAATCAAGAGACACAACCATCCCGCGTGACAAGGATATAAGGATGACTTCTGAGATTATGACAAAATGACCTCAACACTAGGCTGGGGAATGAGTCGTCACACTAGTGAGCACCTGTATGTACTGATATCATTTGAGGTTGGAGACCACGAATCAGAGCTGGGCGGATACCCGGGTACTTTACAACCATAATTCGACCATATTTCTTTCAATTCTTCTACCGCGACGATCTGGAACGAATACCGCTGGAATGGGCCAATACTACTCCACAACGAACACTAAAGAACCCGGTACCTCTGTCGATGAGAATAAGAAGGTCGGGTATTATGAACTCTTGCAGGTCGCTCGAGACGCATCTGGAGAAGAGTAAGCCACTTCTCTTGACCCCCCTTCCTTTCTCACACTCTTTGCCTAGCTTACTCAAAACTGACACTATCCGGCGGCTGCTTAATAAGAATAAAAAGGGCATACAGGAGAAAAGCTCTGGAGTTACATCCTGACAAGAACTTTGGAAATGTGGAAAACGCGACAAAGCTATTTGCAGAGGTCCAGGCTGCTTACGAAGTGCTCTCAGATCCCCAAGAGCGCGCCTGGTATGATTCTCATCAAGAAGCCATTTTAGGGCAGGATGGCAAATTTGAAGATGTCAGATTATCGAACAATACCAGAATCACGACTGCAAATGAAATCTTTGGACTGTTCTCACAATTCAGTCCTCGAATGGAGTTTTCCGATGCCCCTGAAGGGTTCTACGGTGGTCTTCGTGAGATTTTTTCACGTCTCGCTCTGGAGGAAGAGCTAAGTACCTCCGGCGAAAGAACAAATACAGCAAAATATCCAACCTTTGGCCATCGCGACGATGGATATGAGGACGTTGTGCGTCCCTTTTACGTGGCGTGGAGTGGCTTCTCAACAACAAAGACATTCGCGTGGAAAGATAAATACCGTTATTCAGAGGCCCCAGACCGTCGTGTTAGGCGGCTGATGGAGAAAGAGAACAAACGTCTACGTGAGGATGGGATTCGGGAATTCAATGATGCAGTTCGGTCGCTTGTGGCGTTTATCAAGAAGCGTGACCCACGATACAAGTCCGGTGCTCAGAGCGAATCTCAGCGACAAGAATTTCTTCGTCGTTCCACTGCTGCGCAAGCTGCCAAGTCACGAGCAGTCAATCAAGCCAAGTTTCGCGAATATGTCGCACCGGAGTGGGCGATGTCACAAGATCACAGTGACAATGATTCTGATAACAGCTACAATATCTCGGATGTCGCGGTAGAGCTTTTTGATTGTATTGTGTGTCATAAAAGCTTTAAGAGTGCTAAGCAATTTGAGACACACGAACAAAGCAAGAAACATATTAAGGCTGTCAAACAGTTGCAAAAAGAAATGAGAGCGGAGAATACGCAGCTGGGGTTGGTGGATGATTTCTCTGCCTTCGACTCTACGCAACAAACAACCGCATTGGCATGTAACAGCTCAACTTCTGTTCTAGACATGAACAAGAAGTCACAGTCAGCTTCACCAAATCCCAAATCACTGGATCGCAGTAGTTCAAATGCAGAAACACAGAGTGAAAACAACGATTTCGACAATCACAATAACCCATATACTGGCATCAGCAATACTTCCAGTTCCTCCAAGGAGCCAAATGATAGTTCGGATTGTGACACTGACTATGCGCCCCGAGATTGTGTGAAAGATCGACTTCAGCTAATAGACGATGATATACAAAATCCGGCAGGCACGATAGATGATCTAACTCAAAACCTGTCAGCAACACAGATACACGAGAAGCCACCGGTGACTCCAGCAAAGTTGGGAAAAGCCAAGCTAAAGCGTCTGAAGAAGGCCCAACAAGCCGAGAATCAGGCACAAGACCGCCAATGTGCCACCTGTGGCGTTGCCTTTGCCTCTAGATCACAGCTTTTTACCCATATTAGAAAGTCTGGCCATGCTCAGCTCCGGGTGCAGGCATTTGCAACCAAGAGGTGATTGTGACACATTGAACAAAATGGCGTAAATATCTTGACTTCATCGAGCTTTCTCCTTGGTTGAAAATCCTCGTGCCTTTTGGGCAACCACCAGTACCTATATCTCGAAAACTTCATGAAGTCCTGCTGACATGCTGCTTCTATAACACGAAATTTGATCAACGTGACTAGCGAGGCCCGCTACAGGTGTCTCTTTACACATCAATCTAGCCAAGGCCAGCCCTAGAGTTCTTTACCACATGCGCCACCGGCTGTAGAATACCCTTATTATTGGTAGCCCCCAGGGGCGTGCCAATGCTCCAACCCATCTTTTCAAGCATAGCTCTCCCTCGGTTTCCTGCGCCAATTTCTGGTGCCGAAGCACCAACAACTTCCCCATCCATGTATGTTGCCGATGCGTCGGGGCGTCCACGTCGACCTTTGGCTGGTTTTGTCGCCTTGTGGTCCCAAGATTTGGAGCCTCGTTGGACGTACTTGCCCTTCGACAGTATTCGTTCCAGTTGAGGGATGGTTTGCTGAGTAAAACCTGGAGTCCGAGACGTCTTGTTCATGATTGGAAACCGATTCGCTCCTTTACCCCGTGACTGAGAAGTGAGACACAACATGTTCGCCAGTTCATGTACTAGCTTTCGTTGTTGCTTCGCCATTGGAGGGAGAACCAAGCTACTGGTGCCACCTTGCGTTAGATTCTGAATACTAGAGAATACAATGAAGGTTTCAGAAGGTACCTATGCTTTGTTGACAACAGAAAAAGTCGTATTTCCATCTTCAGTTCGGTAGTGTCCATTCCTTTTGCGTACTTCACTCTGAGATCTGGCTCGGCAGTTTGTCGACCAAGCAACCCTTCAGAGCGAAGTTGCTCTCTTTGCTGCTTTCTCGATCTTTTCTTAGCGCGGTCGGTTTGCCATGCACTCAGGAGTTCCGCCTCCAAGTCACTGTCAGGCAAGTAAGCATTGAAACCACGACCATTCCCTTTGGGCTTTTTCTTCAGACTGGGTCGGTTGAAGTCCATGATGTCGAACCCGTAGTAGGGATCAAGATCCAGCGCGTCAGCAAACGCATTCGCCGATGCAAACATGCTTTCCTCTTGGTGGTCTTGTTGAACATCTGAAGAGGGATCTCTAGTCTCTGATTCGATTCCATGGGCAGAATCAGTATCAGAGGACGAGTCTGACAGCACTGTGCAGTTCATTCCATCGGCCTCAGCGTGCTCGAGATCATTGTCGATCAGTTGGCTGCTTTCCCGGTCGTATCCATCCGTGCCTGGGGCAACCAATAGGCCTTGTGTTGTCGGCTCCACCTCCGGGTCATTGCCTGGTATGGTTAGCATGAGGACATCTATTGCAGGGATATCTCCACCTACATCCTGCACGGTCGATGCACTCCTTCGAGGACCGCCGGCGAGCGGTTTCAATACGAGATGATGTTGCTCTACCGGCACGTCCGGTGCTGCTGTTGGAACGTGGTAAATGGCCTGTATTCGCCATGGTATACGCTTCAGAACCTCTTTTCTGGCTGCGCCCGCCCTGTAGCATCAAATATTCATCATCCATGTTTGCGATATAATCAGCCAGGACAGCGTCTTCATCTGTTGCGGAAACCCTCCGCATCGTCTTCTCCTTCTTATTTGTCCTTTTGACCTTGAGGCTGATATAATCTGGACATTCGCCCAGACCCTGTCCAACCGGGGACTCTTGTGCTGGTGCTAAGTCGGGTCTGAACGGTGAGACACTTCCAGGGTATCTATCGACAGGGACGGTCCGCCTCGTGTCGTCGGCGGGGCTGTGGGTGTCTGTGAATATGGCGACGGATATCGATCCTGACTCTCTGGGAGGATGCTCGGCTACCTGACTTCGGCGCCCTGGGAAAACCACCTCGTCCTCGCTGGAGTCCTCTGTGTCCGGAGACCATAGTGCGGCCATGTCCGATGTGACTCTGGGAGTAAGACTTTCGTCGGGCGGTTCGAGGTGGCATTGGTCATTGCTAACTCCGAGAGATGGGCTTAAAAGCGTGGCAGCATCAGATGACTCTCCGGTTGGCAAATCCTGGGGTTTGTGGAGAGGTTCTGGATGGTGTGGATTTATTTCTTGATCTATAGATGCCGTATTTCGTGCGCTGACGAATTGTATGACTTGGTGGCGAAGAGAGGTGTCTATCCTTCGTGAGCTGCGGCCCTCTGTATTGCGTGCTTCTTGTTGCAGGGTAAAATGGTTTTTGCCTGTGGCTTCTGTGGCGTTAGCATAAACATGTGAGTATTCATAGTAAACCGGCGCCAGTACCTTGGAGGCTGGGTACTATTATTTTGTTCTTTTTAACCCTCGGCTTCACCTTGGACCGTGGCATCCTGAAGCCGCTCTTTTGTGTGCGTAGATGCTTGTGGCAGTACTGGATGTACCTAAAAAGGATGTAAGCGATGTGTAAGAATTGCAGTAGTCACTTTTCAAAACTTACCCGGGGCGGCGGCTCTGGGTTTTTTCCACTTTGTCGGGCGGGCGGTGAGTGAATATCTGCGGGGTGGGATCGCTGTCCACTCTCCACCTGAGTGGGTATCTACTACTATCTAGATCGCTGAAGCTGTCCGGCATCTTTGCACTGCCTGCTTTGGATGGGTATGTGCACTTGGTGGGTATATCCACGGCACGTATAGCCTTTTGGTTACTTTGTCTTGGTAGTGTAAGATACTTCTTTGTGGGGTGCTATCCTAGATTTTGATGGAGTCGTCCGGCCACTGCCCTGCGTTTATATATAGTTCTACTCGTACCTTTGTATAAACATCACCAGAATTATCACCCGCAGGAAGAAGACACTGCAAAGTAAAGAACAGGAAAAAGCTCCGTGAAAACTTTCGATAGGGCTGCCAGTAACATCAAGCATAAATACCATGCCCATCCTGCTACGCCACCTGACGAGAGACTTCTCAGTCAGAAGGTGCAGCACCAGTGCTCATATGGCCCATTCCGCATGACCCAAGCGGGCCGGCGATGTCCTAGACCCACCCCCGCCGGACACTGACGTAGCAACCGAACCGGCGACAACCTTCCATCCTCTGAGTGCCCAGAACTGAGCACCGTGCAAACCCAGAGAGACACATCAACCATGAATGCTGCGGATATCGGCCGCTGTAGCAAGCGCATTGTGCAGTATATCTGGGACCCTGAGCCCAGGAATGACAGAGAACCACACGAACCAATCTGGTGTTTGGGGGTAAAGTACCTTCCTGCCGAGGGGCCAGAAGTCTCACAGACCAAGACCTGTAAGCCCACCCGCAACCACAAAGTCCCGCATACACAAAACAAGATAGAAGAAGGAAGAAAAGAGAGTACGCCAGCGAAGTGGACAGATCAACTAATACCTGCATACCACGTAGCCGATAATGGCCAAGAGGAGTGTCACGAAGGCGATGAAGTTGCATCAGCGGTCTCAAAGACACAAGGCGCACCAGAGCATATTTGGCCTGAGACCTTCATCTCAGACTTTGAATCAAGGATCTGGATGACCTATCGATCACATTTCACACCAATACCCAGGACAGATGGCCACAATGCCAGTGCGTCCATGACACTAAGCGTCCGACTACGAAGTCAGTTGTTGGATACCCAAGGTTTTACATCAGATACCGGATGGGGCTGTATGATAAGATCAGGCCAAAGCCTACTGATCAATGCGATGGCTTTTCTGCTACTCGGGCGGGGTAGGAAACAAAATCTCAGACATTTAACGAGAGCCATTTTACCTTGCTAATATCTTGATAGACTGGCGTCGCGGACAGAGACACAAGGAAGAAGCCAGCTTGCTATCGCTTTTTGCAGATAATCCCAGTGCCCCCTTCTCGATCCATCGTTTTGTACAGCATGGTGCACAGTCATGTGGTAAATTCCCAGGAGAGTGGTTTGGGCCATCCGCAACCGCCAGATGCATCGAGTATGTGAAACCCACACATCAAGGTATCGACTGGAACTGAAGATCAAGCTAGGGCGCTCTCCAATTTGTGGCAAGGACCAGCACTCAACGTATATGTCACAAATGACACAGGGGAGGTTTATCGAGATAGATTCCTGGAAATCGCACGTAGCGGGACGGATGTGATTCAACCAACACTCATACTTGTCGGAATAAGACTGGGCATCGATCGCGTGACACCGGCATACTGGAATGGCCTTAAGGCTGCGTTACAACTCCCCCAGTCAGTGGGGATAGCAGGGTATGTCCCCGAGTACCTGCCACTAAACCAAACTGACGCGATGAACATTAGGGGACGTCCCTCGGCCTCGCATTATTTTGTAGGCCACCAAGGTTCGCATTTATTCTATCTCGACCCCCACTTCACCCGCCCAGCGCTTCCAGACCGTGACACAGGGCAGTCATACTCGAAAGATGAGATCGACACTTACCACACCCGACGACTGCGGAGGATTCACATGCGGGATATGGATCCAAGCATGCTTATTGGGTTTCTCATTCGAAATGAAGAAGACTGGCAGGACTGGGAGTGTCGGTTGAAGTCGGTAGAAGGCAGAGCGATCATCCATGTCATCAACGAGGTGGATACATCAAAAATGGGGCGAGATGCTCTGGACGAAGTCGAGGTATTGGACGATACAGAATAGACACCTGGAACGAATGCGTGGGTCTTAGTCCAGAAACACTTTCCTAATAATGTACGTCAACCCAGTAGAGCTGCGTGAATGAAAACATGGATATGGAAAGCAATTCAGAAATAGAATTCTGCTAGGGAAGGCAAAATTGCGCGACCAACCCCAGATCCGTGTTATGTTACACCGCATTCATGTCACGAAAACCATAAAAAACATTTGGCCCAAGGGGAAAAATAAAGCCATCCCATGACACATTAGAAAAAAAAATCCCGCGAACACCCTGTAACCCACCACCTCAGAACCGTTGCTGATGACGAGGTAGCATAAAAACAATCCCGCAGAAACAAACAAACAAAACAAGAAGCTTATTTGGCAGAAGAAGAGTACTTTGTGACAGCCTTAGTGCCCTCGGACACCGCGTGCTTTGCCAATTCGCCGGGAAGAATGAGCCTCACACTGCCCTTCGTCAGCTGGTGCCCCAAGATTCATAGAATTGGTAACTTACGAGGTCTGGATCTCCCGCGACGAGATAGTGGATTTCTTGTTGTAAGCGGCGAGCTTGGAAGCCTCGGTAGCAACGCGCTCAAAGATATCTGAAGACAGTCAATAAATTTGATCCGATTATTATGCAGCCGGGATCCAAGCATACCGTTGACGAAAGAGTTCAGGATGGACATGGCACGAGTGGAGATACCAGTGTCGGGGTGGACTTGCTTCAAGACTGCGGCGAGAATTAGCTTCGTACATGAAAGCACAGTAAAGCGAGCGTACCCTTGTAAATATAGGAGGAGTAGGTTTCCTTCCTGGTCTTTCCACGCTTCTTCTTGTCACCGGTGCTGGCAGAGGCAGTCTTCTTGCCGGCTTCCTTCTTCTCAGCGGGGGCCTTTCCAGCGGGGGCCTTGCCACCAGTGCTGGGCTTCTTCTCGGCAGCTTTAGGAGGCATTTTGAGTGTTCTGTTTAAAACGTAAAGGCTGGAGGTAAAAGCGGTTTGCGTTGAGTTGTAGCGTGGAGAAGGACGGAGAACAGGATGATGAGGAAAACTGAAATGAGGGAGACGCGGTGACGAGAGAGGCGCGCTACTTATACCAGCTCGCAAATGCCTAGTTGATCCTGAGGTCCGCGAAAGAAGCAGAATTTCAATACTGTATTGAATACGTATGATCTGTATGATTAAAGGGTGGGGAACGCGTCACCTACCGCCACAGAACGCCTCAGATCACGCTAGCATGACTGTACTGAAACATACCCCATTCATTACAGAGCTATACCACATAAGGTAACCCCTACCCGGTGGAATCAAGCCAAATCCATCTCCGCCAAGCCATGCGCGCCAGGTGATATGATCTCTTCTTTGATTGGTTAGCCCCGCTAAGCGAGAGGGTGATCTGAAAGGCTCCCCATTAGCCCAACGTCACCCTTGTCGCGTTATTATATATGTCCTCCGCTCCCTCGCGTTCGCCGTCAACCCTTAACCCCATAAAGTAACCTTTTCGCCGTGTTAACGTCTTGACCCTATCGCATACCTTCTTCTTACGACCCCAACTAAAAAACCACAACCATCAAAATGACCGGAGGAAAGTCTGGAGGCAAGGCCAGCGGCAGCAAGAACGCCCAATCGTGAGAGCCACCATCAATCATTCACCATAAGTGAAGCTAATCCAATCATGTCTTCTAGCCGCTCGTCCAAGGCCGGTCTTGCGTTCCCTGTTGGTCGTGTCCACCGTCTTCTCCGCAAGGGCAACTACGCTCAGCGTGTCGGTGCTGGTAAGCTCCTCGAATCGTCTTTTTCACTTCTACCTCTCTAACATGGCATCAGGTGCTCCTGTTTACCTTGCCGCTGTTCTCGAATATCTTGCCGCCGAAATTCTCGAATTGGCAGGCAACGCTGCCCGTGACAACAAGAAGACCCGTATCATTCCTCGCCATCTCCAGCTCGCCATCAGAAACGATGAGGAGTTGAACAAGCTTCTGGGCCACGTCACCATTGCTCAGGGTGGTGTCCTCCCTAACATTCACCAGAGTATGTTTAGAGTTCTCGATATACATTGACTGATATGGTGCTAACACAATCTAGACCTTCTGCCCAAGAAGACCCCTAAGAGTGGCAAGGGATCGGGTAGCCAGGAGCTGTGAACAATTTTTCTTTGGTTTGGGTTTTCTGATTCGGCGTGGATTGGTTCTCTTATTGATGTGATAACGGGGTTCTGGTCTGGGCACGTTAATGGCTCTGCGTTTATTTTCTTCCTTTTAGCTTTTAGTTTCATGGTTGTACATTATGTCCACGGACATGGAATGATACCGAGAATTATTTATGGATACAAATTTTCATGATGCTCTATTCAAGACTTCGACGTGTCGAGTCTTGTTGTTACACCGGCAACCGCTGCTTATCGCTTTTTAGTATCTATAGTTTACTGCATTAACCAGTATTGCTGCAAGTGTGCTATTCAAATTATAGTTTTGTAACAGACATGCTAAAATACTTCGTGGACGGCAATCAGTGGCCCGCAGGCTGGGAAGCGACTAATGGGTGTCAGTACGGCGTACCGGACAACATCCAAGAATCTGTTATGAAGGACAAAACGGATGAACTCACGAGGCAACTGGGGGGCAGGAAGGTTTCTCTCCCATTTACTGCCTTTTGAAAAGTTAGCACCTGATTCTTGCGGCAAGCTAGGACTAGCAATCAAATACCTCCTGGGGCAGTGGGCGCGCGATAGGGGTCGGGGTGCTTCCATGTCTCAAGTAGTTTTTCGGTTTCCTGTAACAGCACCTGTTGAATCGCTATTAGACTAGGTCTGGTATTACTGTACTTTGTAGTTCCAAAATTCAAGGATACCTTCTGTTGTCGAGGGTCGCGAACGTCTTTATTTGCGTCGAACAGTGAACGAATGTAGACTGCCTGTCCTCGCCAAACCTGACGGTGAACAGCCCAATCCAGGGCAAGTTTCAGGGACCGTCGATAAAGGGAGCTGTAATGCAGAGTCAGATTCTCTCTAGAGAAATTTTGTATTGACTGACTTACGCAGCAGCGCTAAGAGGCATTGTGTCTGGGGAAGTCCGGGTTTGAGGAGATAGATGACGATGATGTGCCCTCGGCTTCGAGTTCTACTTCATTTGACAATTCGGCCTGCGGCGGTCCTTGGCGGGCGCTGGAAAGTGCCAAGCTGGCAGTCTTGGGCAGCCGAAAAAGCGTAATAATTATACTCCGTTCATTTGCCGGTCGCATGGAAAATGCAGCTTCTCTTGAGGGAAATTCCGGTTGTCTCGGCCCGGGCTCGAGCTCACGTACCCCGACATAAGTTTCATCACTTCCTCTTAACTTACTTTCAATAATTGAACCTGCATTCCAAGTTGGATCACAACTCAGCTGTCTTCGCCTCGCCCGGTTGCCAGAGATCACACAGCGGCTTAACTGTCTTTCTCGGACGTTGCTATTGATAACTTCATTGCTCTTTTTTGTTTCTCCTTTACCTGGGTCATCATGGCTTCTCGACTGCCCTTTCACCGTCTGCCTCGGAGCACTCAGGCCTTCCGCGCTGTTTCTTTCGGTCGGCCCAGAAGCTTCGCCTCGAATGCGCTCCAAAGAAATGCTAAAGTAGCCGTTCGGCTGAATCCAGCTTTGCAACGGTTTACGGGTTCGGGGTAAGTCCTTCTCGATAAAATGGCTTCGGTAGCAACAGACGGCTTAGAAAGGCTCAGAAGCTTCACCAACCTTACCGCTACTCCCTTCGGAGCCCACCAAATTAGAACCTATGGTACATAAAAGCACCCTGTATCTTAGCCGGCTGTACTAAATTGACGACTTATAGCGGACACTGTTGTCAAGGTTCCACAGATGGCCGAGTCTATTACCGAAGGCACCCTAAAGCAATTTTCGAAACGTGAGGGTCCTATATGCGTTCACATTGCTATAAGTCACTGACGGTGCCACCAGAGGTCGGGGATTACGTTGAACGAGATGAGGAGATTGCGACAATTGAAACTGACAAGGTACGGACGTTTAATGACCATGAAACGTGGACTTTGAGATACACCACGTTCAACAGCCGCTTACCCGTTCTAGATTGATGTCTCTGTTAATGCCCCAGAGTCTGGCACGATCAAGGAGTTCCTGGTGAGCGAGGAGGACACCGTTACGGTTGGTCAGGACCTTGTTAGACTGGAGCTCGGAGGGGCCCCGGAAGCAAAGACGGAGGAGGAGGCATCCCAAAAGTCTGCAGAACCAGCTAGTCCCGAGCAACCCACGGCTTCGGAGCCAGAGCAAGCAAAGACGTCTGAGGCACCAAAAGCGCCCACTCCCGAGAAGCCTGCCGCCAAGGCAAATGAACCCAAGAAGTCGCAGCCCGCGGCACCTAAGTCGCAGGCCCCTGAGGATAGCAAACCGAGCATTGGGGGCCGTGAAGAGAGGAGGGTTCGTTGCTATCATAGTCATTGTGTCATGGTCTAGTTTGAATTCGCTAACACGACATGCCACGTACAGGTGAAGATGAACAGAATGAGATTGAGAATCGCTGAGCGCTTGAAGCAGTCTCAGAACACGGCAGCCTCCCTCACCACTTTTAACGAGGTGGACATGTCGTCACTCATGGAGTTCAGGAAGCTCTACAAGGACGATGTGCTGAAGAAGACGGGTGTCAAGCTGGGATTCATGAGCGCTTTCTCTCGTGCATGCGTCCTAGCTATGAAAGATGTCCCTGCAGTTAATGCATCCATTGAGGGGCCGAATGGCGGTGACACCATTGTCTATCGAGACTATGTTGATATCAGTGTAGCCGTCGCCACTGAAAAGGGCCTTGTGACACCGGTGGTCCGCAACGCGGAGACTATGGACCTTGTCGGTATTGAGAAGTCCATTGCAGATCTCGGCAAGAAGGTCAGTCGCCCAAGCTCATTGGATTGCACAATCTAATTTTAGTACTCATTCCAGGCCCGTGACAACAAGTTGACGATCGAGGACATGGCCGGAGGTTCTTTCACCATCAGCAATGTAAGTTGTGTTTTTATCCATGCTTGGCATTGAACTTTATTGACAACGCTGACTTCACAGGGTGGTGTGTTCGGCTCTCTCATGGGCACGCCGATCATTAACCTTCCACAGACGGGTAGGTTCCGATGTCTTAGGCTGGTACAGAGTAGAAAACTGACTAACATGTTCAAGCCGTTCTTGGACTTCATGCCATCAAGGACAAGCCTGTTGCCGTCAACGGTAAAGTCGAAATTCGCCCTGTAAGTCCTTACTGCATCCCGACTGTCCCCTTAGCTTGAGCTGACGTTTGAACCAGATGATGTATCTTGCTTTGACTTACGATCACCGGCTTCTGGATGGCCGGGAGGCTGTCACTTTTCTTGTCAAGGTCAGACACCGTACCTAGAGCATTTCTTACCCATAAACTAACCTTATCACTTACTCTAGGTCAAGGAATACATTGAAGATCCCCGTCGCATGCTACTGGGCTAGGCTATTTGCCACAACTTGTTTGCCGACTGGCAGCGGAGGCCCAAGGAACACTGCCATCTCCGCGCGTTCCTGATATCCTGGCGTGTAGAGTATTGTTTTGCATGGGTCTGTTTTAGAAATCATTCATCGACATTGGTTACTGTTCAATCCATGTAGAGAGGCCCATCATTGCAGCTAGTCTTGTGATTTGTCTTGCCAATCTCCGACTATAAACTGTGCAATGACCGGTTATGGGCTTTCAAAGTCCTATTCTTTCTTTCAACTGCCTGGTCTCTTCGCGGGTAAGCCCACCCAGTTTCCCTCTCTCTAATTGCAGCAGTATGGGTGGATCTAGCGATTGCATTAAGTTGGCCAGGTAATCAATCACTGCACGTGCAAGCTGAGCTGCAGGCAGTCCGTTTGATATATTCCTTAGATGAACCTCTAGCGACAAACCGCGAGGTGGCTGGAAGTATTTCAGGTGCCCTTGTCGTCCCTTCGCCGTTGATTTTTCTTCTATGACCTTGTGTACGCGGTTAATACACTCGTCGTAGCCCGGGGTTGACGGAATGCCGGTCGCCGCAAGCTCCTCTTTTGCGGCCGCCATAATCAGGTGAGCTAAGATGGCATCTTTGAGCTCGGGCCAGCTCTCCCCTGGTCCTTCGCAGAGCGCGAGAAAGTTGGCCAGTAGGAACAGGGCAGTTGCTTCCGCAGCGCCGTTCTGTAGTAAGGCATACCGGCGACAGAATATCACGGCAAAATTCAGCAGTCGGTCTTTGGTACATATGTCATCCGGAAGACTATTTGGGTCCAACAACACTGCTCTGGTTGCTGGTTTGGCAGTTGGAAACAGTCAGTGTTTTGATGAAGGTGACAGAAGCTCGGTCATACTTACTTTGAATGGTTCTCAGGTACCACTCGATATTATGGTCTTCTGGCTTCTGCCCTTCCACCCTCGCTCTTCCGTGGCATAGGAGTTGGTCAATTGTTGTGCAGAGAAGATAATCGAACATGAGGACATCGACCTCTGCTTGGATGGTGGAGTCGGCTTCTTCACTTTCCATGATTACATGTCAAAAGCAATTGACTAGTACAGTACGTGTCTGTTGGTCGCATGTCAACTATGGAGATTGTTGCCAGTCACATATATGACTATCATGACCACATGTATCAAGCCTAGCAATAGACCAAGGTACAGGTGAGTTCTTACTAACTGTGGTAATTCATGAAGGAAGCAGCTCAGCCAACCCTCGTGATTTCGGTGCTGTGGCACGAAAACCACTCACCGCCCATATACATCAGGTGACTTTTCACCTACTTAGTATGAGTACTGTACTTTTCAAGCCAACTCACCTTTTACAGGTATGTACTGTACAGTACGGAGTATTTGCTATTTTAAGGACTCCACACAGTCCACAGTACTTAACTACTTACTAACTACTTGAAATTGCGTATACACTTTACATTAGGATTATTATGGCTCTTGATGTCTATATCAGGGGGTTTTGAGGTCACTTTACATTGGGATCTATTTTCAGGGGAATGGTATTACTGTTCTTTGATGGTAGGGTTCTTTTTTCGAGGTGTTAATAATGTATTGAAATTCCATTCTGCTTCCTGATTAGCAACCAGTCAATTCATGACCCTCTACGGAGCAGTCAAGGTCCTCGATAACTAAGAAGGGAGTGGCTTTGGTGCTTCTAGGGCAGATGTTGGTGCTGAGTGGCCTGGCCAGTATATATGCATGTAATCACTCTTCCCTGGATGATGTTCCATTGTAAAGCAATTAAGCCTAAGGGTTATTCCAGGTGATTCGGCAACCTTGCCGGGGGGGGGGGGGGGGGTTGCCGCTCGATTTATATATATCAACAACCCCTGGTTGCCCCTCTGGACCCTCAAATATATACAATACAAGCAATGACAGAGTCCAGTAAGCACCATGTGCAATTTAGTAGAAATGAAGCGAAATCAAGTCGAAAAGACCAGCCTATAGAAGATCCAAGCTTATCAGAATCTCGGCTACTCAGGTTTGTTACTACACGTATATACTAGTAATGCATGTGAACGCACAGCGGCTGCTTATCATTTGCGCAATCATGAGACCTAGTAACTAGTTATGATAATTGACGTCATAGGACATCCGTATCACTCCGGAATTCCCGCCTCAAAGGTAGAGATGCCCCACCGTTTTTGATCTAGTCCAACAACGAACGACCTTCATACTTGTCTACTACACACATATCGAGTAATACCGATCCACGTCTCTGGCATTCCATTCTGCTGCTGCTGCAGGGGCGCACACTTAAACTTATATGCTTGCTGGGATTTTCGCCATAACTACGCCCTACACGCAATCTGCCCGGACGCTATACTCAATGGCGTGGTACTGTTCTGGATCAACCAACAGCGAATTGGTTGAGAACCTGTACAGGACCGGTCTCATAAAGAGTGAAAGGGTGAGAGATGCCATGAAAGGCGTGAGCAACCCCCTTCGTCCCCTTCTCACCCACCAACCAAGAAATCTCGTTTACCTCTACCTGGAGATCACTATCTCTGGTCGAGGATAAGCCACGAGATAAAAGCCAACGGTTCCCGAATGAGGCGAATTTTGTAGTCGGAAGTCTGACATAGGTATGCAAGGTTGACCGGGCCCACTATGCGCCCTCAAGGCCGTACTCGGATTCGCCGCAGCCAATCGGACACGCCGCGACGATCTCTGCACCTCATATGCACGGCCATGCATGTGAATATCTTATCGACTTTCTCAAGCCCGGCTCGCATGTCTTGGACATTGGGTCCGGATCAGGTTACTTGACCCATGTTTTTGCCAACCTCGTCACTGATCCATCGGCTGCAAATCAAGCAAATGGCCAAGTTATTGGTATCGACCACATACCGGAGCTCGTCAAGTTAGCCTACGAGAACATGAGCAAGTCAGAGCAGGGTCGTAAGTACCTCAAGTCCGAAAGAGTGAAGTTCATTGCTTCTGATGGGCGGCTGGGATGGTCCCAAGGGGCGCCGTATGATGCCATCCATGTCGGCGCGGCCGCTGAACGGCTACATCCTGTATTGATTGAGCAGCTTCGCACACCCGGGCGGTTGTTCATCCCCGTGGACATGGACAGTGACGATGGAGATGCGGGAAGCCTTGGGCCAAGCGGCGGACAATACATATGGGTTGTCGACAAGAAGGCAGACGGGTCCGTCAGCAAAGAGAAAATCTTCCAAGTCAGCTATGTTCCCCTGACAGACCGCCCGAAGAAATGATCATGATTAACCTGCCTATATCTCTTGCCATAATTGACTGAATACACAAGTTTGCACGTCGGGACGAAATCTACACTAGGTTCGCGACTGGAATGTATGACAATTACCTTGAATGTATGCCTGAATTTTCAAAAGAAAAGCTACCCCCCCCGATCACAAGGTGCGAGATACATATGCCACACGGGAAAACTAGCTACGTAATCTCTCAAGAGACAGTGATGGAGACATCTAGACGAATAGTTTCCTCGACATTAAATATAACCTTCTGTTGTCAACGAAAAGGAAAACCACCGCCGGGAAAATTGAAACCCTGCCCAGAAAATTTGAATTGGGGGCCCCCTTGTTGAAAAAAGAATTGTTGACCGCCACCGAACGGCCCGGATTGGAATGGATTACCCCTCTGGGACTCGGGATCATTGGGGTCATCGCCGTTGTCATAGCGTCCTCTTAATTCAGGATCCGATAAGACTTCGTAGGCCTCATTGATGGCAGCCATCTTCTTCTCAGCCTCCTCCTTGGATACTCCACGAGATATGACCTTGTCGGGATGATGTTGTTTTGTCAACTGACGATATGCACGTTTGATGGTACGCTCGTCGGCATCACGCGTGACACCCAGAACCTTATAGTAGTCCTTTTGTCTAGAGCGCTTTTGAAGAACGTGAGCTTTCTGTAACAGATCCTGAATTTTCTTAGAGCTGGGATGATGCTCCTTCGCTTCATTCAGCACGCTTATTGCATCTTCAAAGCGATCCTCATCGATGGCCACCTGGCCTTTATACAGAAGACCTGCTAAAGACGATGGATTCAAATCTAGCGCCTGAGAACAATAGGAGGCCGCTGGTTTACGTATCTGTGTCTGGGTCGGAAGTGTTAGTGATAAGCCAGACAACCACGGAGAACTGGCATTGACAAACCTCCTGGTAGGCCTCACAGGTTTTCTCAACCAGTGAGGCAAAGAGCCGATTGGGAGCGGCTGGGTGGATATATCCGGCTTCCCTTGCCTGCCTTACATCATTCTGTACATCGACTATTAAACCACTATCGTCACCGACTCCCACCAGCAAATTGACAACATTGTTGAATTTTCTAGAAGTTGCAGCGTTTTCCATGGTCTGAATTCTTTTAAGAAGCTTCTTTTCTCTGCGGTAGAGACGATTGCAGATTTTCGAGTCGGGGTCTGAATGCAGGCATCTGCGAACCTGAGAAATGCCGCGATCATAGTCACCAAGGGAGTAGAATAGCATCGATGAAATCTGCAGATGGGGTTCCAAGGAGCCGGGAGATATTTGGGAGATATGTGCGAGGTCGCTAAGACCTTCCTCTATCTCCCCCCGCTCGAACCGACAATGAGCTCGGGTTTGTCGGAGGCTCAGAGACATGCTTGCTTTGCTGAGGGCTACATTCGCGTGGCTAATGCAAGCATCCCAGGAACCAAGCTTTTCTGCCTCGTGTGCAAGCAGCGCAGAGCCTTGCGCTTCCTGAAGCTCCTTGAATTCTGAAGATGAACCCTTACCAGCCTCACCGAGATCTTCTAAAGCCCCTGCCCAATCTGCAGACTTAGCCCTGAGACGAGACCGCTGCAGAAGGGCGCTCTCAAAACCTGGCTTCAACTGCAGAACGCGATCGAAGTCGGCTAAAGCCTGAGAGTTCTTGCCTAATGAAAGGTAAGCCGCGCCTCTCTGGAAGATGACCAGGTAATTTGCAGGGTCTCTTGAGATAGCCGCATCAAAGTACTGTAGAGCGTCCCTGGGCGAGCCACCGGCAAGATGCGTTTTCGCAGATGCGATCAAAGATGAAAGTGGGGTGTCGTGAGAAATTGGTGAGGGTTGCCAGCCTTTTACGACCGATAGGAAGGCCAGAAAGACCGTAAGGAGCCCTGGAGAGACAAACATCTTGTAAAAGGAGACACGCCAATCGATGAGTATAGGACGGTGGAAATGTAGGACGTTATGGAAATGGTTTCATATTAGAATGTAATAAAAGACGTCGCAGACGAGAGGCGGCCAGTGACAGGGTGTAATGCGGGTAAGAATGACCTTTTCTATGGTCGGAGAGCAAGTTACATATTTTAAGGAATGTTGATAACAGCCAGCTCTGACCGTGGTGATTTATTGTCGGAGATGCTTGTTGCGGGATGCAGCAAGTCCTCAATCTTCCAGTCTGGCCTTTACAACACTGTACTGTACGTACATACAGTAATTCGCGCACTGTCTTGCCCTGAAACAACGGCTGGTTACCGTCCGATTATTGTTTCATACCGTACAGTATGGTTACAATGCTTGATTGCATATGCCACGTGACCCGATTACCCGCGGAGAATTGGCCGCTGTAGATTCTACGATTTAATCTGCATGGCACTGGATGTTGTCACCGATCTTGTTTGTTAAATCGGGAACTAGACAATGTTCAGAGTACCATGGGTTTGCTCTCGGTGTCTGGTCCGGCCAGCCAGGACCTCTATATACCAAGGGTTGCTTCTACAACGTCGGACGTACAAAACAGGTCAGTTTGTTCCACGCTTGCGTAGTACTCTCGATGACCATGGCTCATGCGCAAATGATAGGATCAGATCTATCTCCAGCTCTCCTTACACACGCACGCACTTTGGCCGTCGAGCATGCCGCTCTCAGTACTCAATTAGCTGATTCCTTCGACGCCAAGATCGCAAAACGGATTGGAGAGCTAGCACAGGTTGCGGACACTCTAAAGGAGTGGGATAATGCAAACGAAGCATGTGACTCTTGGGTCCTCACATCGATCTGCTCGCGCTGACCAATGCACAGACCATATCCGAGTTACAGTCCTTGTTAGATGATCCGAAAACGGAAGCTGAATTGAAGTCTTTGGCCATTGAAGACCTAGAAAGTAGCAAGCTCACGTTGCCCAGTATATCAGAGAGTCTTAAGAAAGCGCTCATTCCTCGCCATCCCTTTGCAGAGCTCCCATGCCTGCTTGAGATCCGACCTGGCGCAGGTGGGGATGAAGCAGGCCTGTTTGCTTTCGAGCTGATGAAGATGTATATCGCCTTCTGCTCTCGTCGAGGTTTTCGTTGTACCATCATCAAGAAAGAAGGCGGAGAAGGGTCGGCCGAGGACCGCCTTAGCGAAGCAGTTCTGGAGATAGAAACGGATGGTGCATACGACACCATGAGGACAGAGTCAGGTGTGCACAGGGTTCAGAGAGTCCCGGCCACGGAAGCCAAGGGCCGTACTCATACTAGTGCTGTGAGTGTCATGGTCCTCCCTAGCTTCCCAGAAACAGGAAGTGGCACCGATGGAGCGCATGGTTTCGATGATCCCAACAGCGACTATTACATTGACCCACAGGAAGTTCGCACGGAGAAGATGCGAGCTAGTGGTGCTGGCGGACAGCATGTGAACAAGACTGAATCTGCGATCCGCTTAACTCACATACCGACTGGTATCGTAGTCTCGATGCAAGATTCACGGTCCCAGCATTCAAATCGAAAGAAGGCATGGCAAGTTTTGCGTGCGAAATTGGCCGAACAGAGGCGAGAGGCGCGAGAACAGGAACTTGTTGAGCTCAGGAGAGGAGCTATGGGTGGCGTTGCCCGAATGGGCCGAGGCGATAAAGTTCGCACGTACAATTATGGGCAAAGTCGCTGCACAGACCACCGTAGCGGGCTCACTGTGCACAATCTAGACGACGTCCTAGCTGGTGGCCAGGGGTTAGAGTCCGTAATGGATAGTGTACGGACATGGTTTGGTGATCGCGAAATCGCAGTCATGACGGCAGAAGCATCGATCAATCACGAGGTACAGCGACGTGCTTAGCAGGCTTGAGTGTATAGATAATGGTTCCGAATGTTGCCATGATGACTACGCTGTTAAGCAGGTTTTCAGCAAGTCCATTCGATTACAATTCGATCTCAATTGCGCACACACAGCCCGTAGTATTCTATACATCACCCAGCTTCATAACGACTTAGATGTAACGCCTCTCTGGATCAAATGTGTCCAATGCCTCCATCGTCTTCTCGTACCTGTTTTATCATTAGCCGGCCACACAGTTGGATCATATCATCTACGGGTCGATAGAGCACATACATGGTGAATACTATGCCGCCACTCATGATGAGCCTCGCTAGTCGTGGAACGGCTCCCGACCAGAAGGTCAGAATGCCCTCGTCCTTGAAGATGCGTGCAGCGCAGACGAAACTATTCCTATAATTCTTACTGGCTTCTAGGGATTGCATCCTAATACTGTGTCAGTACGCGTGTCTGAGGAGATATTTGACTAGAACACAAACCTGGTCTTCACGGTATCAAGGGGTTGCGTAACATAACTGGATGGAGATGGATTAGCAACTCCTCTGGACAGAGATATCGGCCAAATGACGAGAGTAGGGCCACAGCAGGCTTACACCGTGATAAGGCCGGCTATTCCACCGATGGCAAAGGTGCTCACAGTCCCCAACTTCTCTCCAGGAGCGACCCAGCCTTGGGCCATCTGTTTCAGCATTGTATAACTCGAGAATCGTGTCGCCGAGTTGGCAGCCTGGCGTGCGGTTGTAGGAACGAATCCTTGGAAGAAACCTCGGATGCCCCTTTCTTGGTAAATGATCTTGCTCCCATGTAGAAACCCACGCATCCGGGGCTTCTGTGACTTTCGATCGTCAATTCTAATAGCGCCACAGGGTGTCAGTTCTGTCCGCCTGAACGAGGAGTGGTGACCTAAGCTCATGAAGTGGTTGGCGACCAGGGTCTGACGAACAGTTGTGTTTTGATGCTCTCAAACGGCGTGACTGCCAACAATGACTCAGTGAATCCTGCACCGAAGCCCGCGACAACTGTTCGGGGCCCTGAGATCTTGCCGTTCTCGTCTTGCAGAAGTGACTTCAGCCAGTCGAAAGCAACGAACCCTATCCACGAAACCAACGAATCAGTCTCAAGATATGCATCAGAATCAGCACTAAAAACAGAATCACTCACGAATTCCTGCCTTAAGGGAATTTCCAATGATCAGGGTTGTGCACCCAGCATACCATTGTGAGCCAAACGGTGGCCATGGTAGTTTCTTTGCGTCGGGGAGTCTGCGGTTGAGTTGCGTACGGGTCTTTGCAACTGGAAGATTAATCAGCTATTGAAGATAGATCATCCAGTATCTGTCTTTTCCGTACATTCGGCTGGATAAGTGATTGCTAATACTGTTTAGCTTTTTGTAAACGGAGGCCAAGTGAGCATAGCGAGGTATTACCGATCTCAACGGCACCGGCGGTTGAGCCCGCGATAATCGATCGCAAAGTACTGGGCTGGCGTCCACAGTTTAGAAGTAATATTCTCATGGGCATTCCTCTTCAGACTGAACGGACCTTCGACCGGTGATCTTTCTCGGCGGTTGCCATGGGAGAGATTGTTTCACCGGGTACAATCTTGACAATCTATCGTGTCAAGGAGTATCTGTCGGGACTTGAGTCAGAATTCAACCATGGCGGACTATAGTTATTTATGGTCTAACTCACTAGTTCCCCGGTAACCTTATTAGTACGGGATTCCGCAAGTGCAGAAGGCGCAGGACTCTTGCGTCAGCCGAAATGCCGAACTTGGCTCTACAATATTATTCACTTAAACGAAGTCCGCCTAGGAATTGAGTTGACATTTGACTAGATACCGCACATATCTTGACCGTCAAGCATCTAGTTATACCCCAGGCTAATTCTTTTCGCCATTTTCAGTTTTTCTCGCTTTTTTTTTTCTCGCTTTTCCTTTTTGGTTTCTTCCCCCTCTTTCAATTGTTCTTGCCTTTCAATTTCCACATGGCACTCGTTCCGCCTTCTCTGCCTTTCCTTCTTCATTAGCCTTCAGCTTTCCCAGCATTCATTCCGCTTGATTTCCTCTCTTCTCGCCCTCCTCTTTCCTCTTTCCTCTTTCCTTCTTCCTCTGTTCCTCTCACCTCGCTCTTCCGGCCCCTTTACTTTTTTTGCTCCGGGGGTTTTTTTTTTTTTTTTAAGTCCACCTCCCCTTGAATTTGCTTCATTTTCTGGATATCCCCACGATCCCGGTCCTAGAGTCTATCGATGTCCAGACCAAGCACAAGGACGATCACGAGTTATACTGGCAAACGACGTGACCCAAAACGATGGTACAGAGACGAAAGTGCATAAAGAGCTGTGAAGACTTCGCCGTTAGCGCCAGGGATGCAAATGCCGGTGTTGTAGTCATAGTCATGCTGTGCCGAGAGGAAATATGGTCCAGTGCCGTGGCGTATGGCGAGCCTGGCAAATGAGCTCAGGATATGATGGTCAAAACCGGCATAGCTGGGGGTAAACCCAATCGCCGCGTCTCTGTATGTTAGTCGAAATCGCCAGGAACGCCAAACCCATATACCTTGTAACGTGTCCGCGAACGCCTTGATGATCTCACCTGATCCCAATGCAGTCCCAGAAAAAAAAATATGTACAAGCACGCAGAGCAATGACAAGAACCTGACTCGTCATCAAAAGGCGAGTGAGGGACAGGTGATGACCTGAAACAAATACACACTGAACGAAGTCGAGCATTAGGTATGGTACAGACAGATGATGTTCCTGCATCTTCGAATTCGAGGTGCAAAGACTATCATGTAGGAGACGAAATTCACAGCAAAACAAGACATCAAGAATGTGACATAGTGTTGGGCCCGTGAGTTCATGTAGCCAACATTCATCGCAAGATGAGCAGACCACAACCCATGATGAGAGAGAACGGAAATAAGAAGGACATGGCAAGAGTGAAAAGCACAAAAGGCAAAAGAGCTCAGAAAGAGGAAAACGCGGGGCGTAGCACTCATTAATGCGGTAGCTGGTTGTTTATGACACTGGCGTAGTGTGAGGTTTGCCGCCTGTCTGACCTTGAGAGGCGCTAAATTGCTTCGCATCGTTATGAATGGTGCGACGTTGGCCCTGGCCCCGACCTCCGCGGTATGAGCCTCGGCCCCGATGGAACTGATAATGCCCGCCATTTGCATGGTGAGTAGGACGACGATCTGCAGCAGGTGTATTTGTGACTGTGGTATTAATCAGCGGTTGTGATGGGTTCGCGATAGGGCGTGGGATTGTATCAGGTGAGTCGTAAACATAGAGCTTTTTGTCGATGTTCTGCGGAATGGGCTGGATTTCAGTTCCTAGTTCCTGTTCAATTTTATACAAGTTGAAACGGTCATCCCAGTTGATGAGATTGATAGCAAGTCCGAGATGCCCGAAGCGACCTGACCGACCAATCCGATGAAGATAGGTTTCAGCGTTCTTGGGGAAGTCAAAGTTGATGACAACATTGACAGCTTGGATGTCAATACCGCGGGTCAAGAGGTCCGAGCAGACGAGATTACGGCAAACGCCGTTGCGAAAGTCGTGGAATACTCGGTTCCGATGCTGTTGAAGCATCCTTGCGTGTGAATAGAAGCAGGAATACCCCAGCTCAGTGATCTTCTTTGCGAGTAACTCAACCCGATTGGTGGAATTACAGAAGATGATTGATTGATTGATCTGTAATTTTGAAAACAGGGTGTTCAAACAATGGACTTTCTGTTTCTCCTCCACAAATGCATAGTACTGCGTGATTCCTCGTAGGGTGAGCTCGTCCATGAGATTAATCTCATAGGGGTTGCGCATGTGTTTGTCCTAACATGTGTCAGGGGCCATTTTTGGGATAGATACAACTCATGATATACTTACCTTGAAGGATTTCACAATCAGTGGGAAAGTGGCACTGAAGAGCATTACTTGACGATCCTTGGGATGAAATGACAACAGCTGTTCAATGACTGGGGTGAATTCAGGCGATAACAATTTGTCGGCCTCATCCATGACGAATGTCGGGCATTCAGAAAGATCAGCGACACCTTTGCTCGCCAAGTCCAACACTCGTCCAGGCGTTCCGACAAGAATATGGACGGCGTCATTCAAACGGATGATGTCATCCATCAATCCTGTCCCGCCTGTAGTAACCATAACGTTGATGCCAAGATGTTTCCCCAAAGTTTTACAGACGTGAGAAGTCTGAAGGGCCAATTCTCTTGTGGGAACCAGAATGAGAGCCTGCGTTTTAGTGCTCTTGGGGTTAATGCGTTCTAGAGTTGGGATGACGAAAGCCGCTGTTTTCCCTGTACCGTTTTTGGCTCGCGCTAGAATATCTCGGCCGGTGAGGGCGACAGGTATCGTTTCTTCTTGGATAGGTGATGGTTTCTCGAACCCAGCCTCGAAAATTCCCATCATAAGTTCACGTTTGATGTAGAAATCTTCAAATTCTAGGCCTTTCGTAGCAGTGACATCCTGGGCGCAAGTCAGATGGCGACGAGCCCGAGCTAGTCTTCGAGTAACAAACCTCAGTCTGTGGTCTCGCATCCTTGGCGGGGACTTTTAATTGCTCCTTCCACTTCGCATCTGAGCTGGTATCCCTGGCAGGATGTAAACATGGTCAATTCAAGCTCCATTGATAGGGAAACGAATACGGTACCCTAAAGTAGTGCTTTTCATTTGTGAGGCTAGTGCGTCGGCCATGTTGATCAGTTGTTTGAAGATGATTGTGATTGATATTATCTCGTTTCTTTCTCGGTATAGAGGTGGCTCAGGATTGCCGGATGCTAATCGAGTGTGCCCAAGGCTTCAGTGTAGATGATTGGATTTTGGAAACTATCGTGTGGAACAAACTCGATCCGGTGCCGGTAGACGAGGTTGTTGTATCGCTTGAAGCCAGGGAGACTGCGTTTAATAGGTCTGCCGAAAGGAGGGAACTGACACAGGAACTGATAGCGATGAGATTTTTGTTGCGGTGAGTCAAGGTGTGATACACTCTAAGAAAGGCTTCCAACAGGTGAGTCAAATGTATCGCCGAGTTAGCGTAGGTTGAGTGGATGTGATTATTCGGAATCG